CCTTCCTCACAGTGATATTTGTGTCATTTTTATAGATCACCTGGATGCCAAGAAGGCGGGGGAGCTGTCCACCTTGTTTGACGTGGGCGGGATCTTCGGTGAGCCCATCCCTACCCATTCGATGGCGTACAAACGCCTGGGGCCCAGGATCTCTTAGAGGTGACTGCTGAGAGGCGAATGTGTCCCCCAGGATGTCATGTCACCTGAGTGGACATCCCTCCTCCTCCCCCATCCTGAGCCCTGACTCTGAACGCGTCAGAGATAGGTGCACACCTCCCAGCAGGTGACAGTTAGTACCCGAACAGGTGAGGGGCTGTGGGACCAGCCTGAAACCAGACCCAAGGCTGCCCGCTGTCTCGCTGGGAGCTGCCCTCCGGCTCACTCACATCTGACCACAGCCTCATAGGCCTGTTCGGTCCTCAGGCGTTGCTGAGGTGACTTCCTGCTCATGGGGGTGTGGAAAGGGACTGGGAGAGGAGGCTGCTTCCGCCTTGCTGCTGTAACTGTTCTGCTTCCTCTCCGCGGCACCTTGCCCAGGGATGCGAGCGCCTCAGGACCCACCCTCTGCATTGCAGGTGGAATCCTGGCAGGTGTCATCTCAGATCGGCTGGAGAAGAGGGCCTCCACCTGCGGCCTCATGCTGCTGCTCGCAGCGCCGACGGTGAGCCTGCGCCCCGCCCCCCACCCCCCCACCAGAAACGGCCATTCTCCTCCCCTCGGCACACACTCGCCCGTCCACCCGGCCCGGGCTGCTCCGTGCATGGCTCACGGCCTCAGAACACCCCTTAGCACACCACGTGCGCCCGCAGAGCCCAGCCTCCCCATGAAGTCGCCGAGCTGCCCTGTGCTGCTCATGTAGCCGGGCCGCCCCCTGCCGCACTGCCGTTCCCTCCTCCTCCCCCCCACCCCCCACACACAGCCTTCTGCTCACCTGTGGGATCCTGGCACCTCCCCAGCCTCCCCGGCAGCGTGGACCCCGCCCATCATGACCATACTGGGTTCGTCCTGCTTTGTAGTTTAGTCGTGCATGGCCTTCCCCTCTGTGCCTCAGTTTCCTCTTCTGGGAAATGAGGATGACAGTAGCACCGCCTCACATCGGCAAGGTGAGCATTAAATGAAGCATCATTGCATCATCACTGTTTTTACAACAACATCACATATATTATTATCGCTCATTGACTCGCATTGTAGTTATTGGCCCGTCTGCCACTCCGCTGGGCTGTGACTGCCCAGAGCCAGGCCTGCGTTTCAGCCATCTCGCGGCCGTGGGCGTTGCCCAATATGGACACTCAAAGAACCTTTGCTAAAGAACTGACTGTGCGGCCCCCTTGTCGCATGACCCCCGCATCCTCGGGCACAGCTGTAGGGGCGGACGGCCCGAGGAGGAAGCGGTTAGACTCGGAGCTCGGAGAGCATTGCCCCAACCTAGCCCTTCTGCCCGGAGCTGAGAGAGGGAGGTCCCCACAGGGTCCCCACCCAGTGAGCAGGACCAGGCCCCGCATGTCTGGGACGAGGCCGGAGCCTCTTGGCTGGCCACGCCACGGACACCTGTGTTCAGCCCGCCTACCTGGGGCAGCACGGCCTTCCTTATGTTTTAGGGCTGACCCCGGTCTCATTGGCTGCCTGGGAGTCACCTGCCTGGCTTTCTTCCGGCTACTTGAAGTAAACCTGTGTTTTCACCCGTTCACAGCTCTACGTGTTCTCCTCCGTCAGCAGAATGGGCCTGGAGGCCACTGTAGGTGAGTCCCTGGGGGCTTTTTGACCGCACGACTTGGTGAAACGAAATAAAAAATTAACAAAGGCGCATTTAGCTGGTGTAACTGGAGCATGTGGTGCGCTAAATTAAAATAGTCCGCTTGTCCCTCTTTGGGTGGGGCCCATGGGAACTCCTGCTCCCGGCACCAGGCCTGACCATGTGCAGGTGTGCGAGCGAGTGGGGGGGTACAGGCCACCTGGTCTGGGGCAGTGAGAAGCCTTGCGCCCAGGCGCAGGAAGCCCCTCCCAGAAGCCAGATGTCACCTGGCAAGCAGCAGGCTGCTGCGCTGGCGGGCCAGGCTCCCGGCCCATCTCTCTCAGCGGGCTCCTGCCGGCCGCCATTGGGGCGCTTACGTAACACTGCAGGACTGTTTTTAACTTCCTGCAGGCAGCACTAGCAAACTATGGCTCTGACACCTAGTTGAGACTGTTTCTGTCCTAATGAGCCAGCAGTGGGGGTCAGGAGGGGCGGAGGCTCTGTGTGATCCCACTAAGAGTTGCCCTGAATGCAGGTTGCTGATGGGGGATCACGGAGTTTCCTGTGACCCCTCAGGCCAAATGCTTCTGCACAGAGGACGGTCGGCCCAGAGGATGGTTTGGGAAAGGGAGCCTAGAGGGCGGTTTAGGAAAGCAATTGTCCTGCATCGGGAAGATCAGCTGCGCTGGGGCTCCCGGCTTCCCTGGGAGGCTGCCGTCAGCAGCTATGGGTATAGAGAGGGAGTCCTTTCCGCTGCACACAGGTCTGTGGCTGCTGGGGGCCGACACGGACGACAGGGAGCATTTGCTCGCTTGGGTCACATCCGTGCTCGTACACCAGGGTTCTCGCCCCAGAATTATTCAGGAGGTGTGGCTCTACTCAAAAAACACATCTCGGGGCGAATCTAAAGAAACGTGTATGACACTAGCCCGGGCAGTTGCCAGCCCTGAGATGTGTGCTCCGGCCGCCCGGCACCTGCCTGCATCCGGCTCGGGCCAGGACCCGTGCGCGACACCAGGGTGCCCACCTGGGCATTTGCCGATGTTCTGCTCACTAACCCCTCTGGTTTCTGGTTCCCACAGCCATGCTGCTGCTCAGTGGGGCCCTGGTCAGTGGGCCATACGCGCTCATCACCACTGCTGTGTCCGCTGACCTGGTGAGTGACTGTCTCAGCGCAGAGCCAGGGCCCAAACGCTGGCCATGCTGCTCACCTCTTCCATCCATGACAACCATGATCTCTGTTAGTAAGACAGTGTGTTTATATAAGCACCTTTTTTTGAAGATGACCAGTATTTATGCTAGTTAGAGTTTTCTAAGCAAATAAAGGAAGGTGGCAGCCGCATTCGATACTCAAGGGGCTGAGGGGAGACAGAAGGATGCGTCGAGGCCTGAGGCCAGCGTCCCGGCGCACTCCTCTGTGCTGCCCTCGCTCGGCCCCAGGCGCTGGTGGCCACGCACCCCAGAGTCGGCCCCAGGCCATGGCAGAGTGAGTTGGCTCCTCCCTGTGTCCCCCGCTCCAGGTGCCCACTCAGTGCCCGGCCCCCAGCTGATGTGGGGACTGCATATAAGCCAGACAGGGTCCTGACCCCGGGAGGCCATGTTCCCGAGAGGAAACCATTGTGGTGAAGACACAATTAATGTGCAGGACGGTAAATGCCACACCATGTAGCAGGAACCACCCCGGCCATGGGGCCCACAGGGATGGCTGACCATTCTTCCCGGAGGAGGGGGCTGCTCCGCTGATGAGGGGACGTGGAACTCCTGATCATAGCAATCCCAGTTCAACCCCAGAGGAGACAGACCACTGTCATCTACCTGACAGGAAAAACAGACATGTCGCTTGGTAGTCATGTGGACATCTGAAGGGGGCATGGCACTAACATACAAAACCCCCTTTTAAAAAGTAGTTTCCATGAATAATGGAGAGAAGAGACGTTTTCCGAACAGGAGAGGCTATGCAGACGCTGTGCCCTCCAGGAAGGGAGCAGACCTCCTGTCTCCTCAGCTGTGGGCTGTGCGTGTGGCCTCCTTGCACAGAGGACCGTGTGGGAGGGGAAGGGACATGCAGCGTGGGGAAACCTGCCAGACACGATCTCTGCCAGGTGGGCAAGGCCAACGCCAACAGGGATGAGTCACGCTGATACGTGTGCCCTTGGCATGACACGATGAAAAGGGCGTTGCGCCTCTGTAGTTTACCTCCCCAAAGCTCACACCCCCATCTAATCATGAGAAAAACGTCAGACAAATCCCAGTGGAGGGATGTTCTCTTCAAGCTGTCAAGGTCATCAGAAACAAGGACAGCCTGGGAAACGGTCACTGCCGAGCAGAGCCCAAGGAGACTCAATGACTAAGTGTCATGTGGCGTTCTAAATGGCATCCTGGGACAGACATTAGATGAAAACCAAGGGAGTCAGAATAAAGTGTAGATTTTAGTTAATAATGCATCCATATTGGGTGTTTAGTTATAACAAACACAGTGTAACAATGTGAGAGATTAAAACGGGGAAGTGGGTGCAGGGCACACAGCCACCCTGGGTGCTGTCTTGACAAATTTTCTGTGAATCTGGGCCTAGCTCACACTCCAAGATCATTTAAAACCAAAAGCACGTCCCCCTAAGTTCATACTCGTGGGCAGTGTGGCCAAGCCCGGCTCCTGAGTCCTGGAACTTTTCTGCCGGCTCCAGCCGTCGCGTCCTCTCCTAGAATGGGGCCCAGAACCCCAGCCCCCAGCTCATTCTCCTGGTGAGAAACCACAGCAAGCCCGTCCCTGCAGCCACGCACCTGCCCTGAGGGCCACAGCTGCGGCTGCCTGACAGCCCCTGCGGTAACCAGCAGTGCTGGCTCACGCACTGTCCTCAGCACTCGGGGAACCAGAGGTCCTGTCCCCATGTCAGCAGAGAGACACGGAGTAAAGAGGCGCTGGGGGTGGGGTCCTCCCATCTTCATCTGCCCCGGGGCGCCCCCCATCCACCCACACACATACACACCAGGCCCACCTCCGTGCAGAGAGTGCTCCTCAGACTGCCTTTGTGAAGCGTGTCCATGCTGCTGTCTGCGTGAGCACAGAACTTTTTGGAAGGGTCCACAGCAGACTGGTAGCAGAGGTCTGCCCTCGTGGGGTCAGAGGGCAGAGGAGAGGCTTTCAGTTTCTTTCCAGACTCCAGAAAATGTGGGTTATGGCTCATGACCACTTTGCGTGTGTGCTTCAGTTCATATTATACACGTAGGTCCATATATTCAGCATTTACTTTGACAAGCTTTGATTTATTTTGTAATTTTAGGCATTTAGGCACTATTTCCTGATTCATTTTTTTTCCTTTTATTGTCCTCAGTTTGTAATTTCCCCCCACCTTGTATGTGTGACTTTTTGCAAACCAGAGCTCCTGTTGACCTGTCACTTAGGACTGGAGCCCCGACGTGGTCTCTTGGGTGCCGCCCCCTTCCCCACTCTCCCCGGCATTGGCCATTAAGCGGTTTTCAGACACTGCAGAGCCACCTGGCACACGTCACCGCAATCCCCTAGCAGAGCCGTCCATAGAAGTGGACATTCACACTGGCATGGCTTAGGGACAGCCCAAGCCTGGTGCCTCGGGAAAGACATTCATCGTGCTGAATATTTGTTTATTTGGAGAGAATTCTAAGAGTTCTGTAAACTAGAATATGCTTGAACAGTATTTCTGATGATTTTTGACTATTAAAAATCCCTGAAACTTTGCCTGCGTTTCCAAGGTAAGTTTGGGATGGAGTAGTTTAAATTTTCTAAAGGAATGTTTAGAAAACAGTCCCACGTTTCGAATTGCTTTGCAAAATTATTTTCATTAGTTGTCATGTGGCAGGCGTAGGTCTACTTGTCCCTCTGATGCTGCTGCGACATGCTTCACACTTGTTTTTCCCTCCCTTCAGGGGACTCATAAAAGTCTGAAAGGAAACTCCCGTGCCCTCTCCACCGTGACCGCCATCATCGACGGGACCGGGTCTGTAGGTACGTGCGTATTTTTAGCTCTAAAGGTTAATTGCGGTCATGGGGGGGGGGGCACACTGTCACGTCCTAATTAACAGATGCCACGGGTTCCAGTTGCTTTGGTGATCTTAGGATCAGCTGGTCTTCCTAAAATACTCATGTCAGAAGCACATGCAAACCCAGGGGACGTGGGCGCACGGCACTCTGTCCCCTGGCCAGGTGGTTCAGAGATGATATGGGCGTGTGGCTGGTTGGAACTAGTTTTCACCTGAAAGAACCCAGGTTTTCATTTAAGACATCCGTTGGCCAACGATGGCCCATGGCCCACTGGTTCAGGGACTGTTTATCACTGTTGTGTCAAGGACAGGGTCTTGTTTAAATATAAATGACAGGGAAACTAATGGGTCCCACAGCACACAAGATCCTCACTGTTACCAGCCTCATTAAAGTTCTTGGACAGATTTCAGTAGCATATTCTGGAGGAAAGAAAGGTGGTAAAATAGCAGCTCACCCCAGAGGCGGGCCGGCGGGACTGGTAACCCGCCCAGCCTCGTCTTCCCAGCCCCTCAGAAGGCTGACGGCGAAGTCCTTGACCTTTCTGGAGCCTTCGTGCCAGGAGCGTGCACACGGACGGCTCGCTGCCCGAAGATCCTGCAGCCACCTGGGCTGCGCCACCTCGAACCGCCGGCTGCTCCAAGACACCTGGACTCGCAGGCAGGGCCAGGCGGTGAGGGCCGGGCTCAGAGGGACTGGCCACCCGCCCGCCTCTGGGACACTGCCGCCACTCCCAGGGGCTCCAGCAGCTGCCTCCGCGGCAGCCCTGCCTGTTCTGAGCCGCACAGAACAGAAGGCCCGGTGCCTTGTGCAGAAGGCCAGCCTCCAGCTGCTTGCATTCCGCAAAGCTGTGCCTGCCCCACTTTTGTCTTCATTGTGCTGGGTCCAGGTGTGACTTTGAATTTGCCAGATGGCATTAGTGGTCACCTCTCTGATGTTTATTTGAAAGTGAGACCATTCCCCTTGGGCAGCTCTTGAGGGCCCGTTCCCACGGCGAAGCCTTTTCTTAGCGCTCACCTGGAGCTCTGCTGGCAGCACGAGCTGCTTCTGTAAAGAGAAGATGGGAGCTGGAAAAGAGGGCAGGTGTGGACTAGGCGAGCAAACACTTTTCTAGATAGTCTCTCAGAACGAGGGAAGCAGAAGTGCCTGGCGGGGGGGACTCTGAACCTGTAAGGGAGACACCGAGGCCCAGCGCTGAGTGCCTCCCCCAGCGGGGAGGGCGGAGGCCACCTGCACTGCGGCTGCCTCCTCGCTGACCGCACCGCACCGCGTGCTGACCACGGTGGACTGTCACGCCCGCACCCAGAGGCCTGACAGGGACAAAGGCTCTGCCAGCTCCAGCGTGCCAGAGCCCCGGGAAGCAGTCGCCGTGGAAACGGCACACGCTTGTCCACCACTGGGCTCCGTCATTATTTCTCTCCATAAATGCTGCCCAACAGAAACAGAGAAGGGCCTGAGTGGAAACCACTGTCTAGCAAAACGTCCGCTCACCAGAGAGCTTCCCGGATGTTTATTAAATGCTGTAAATACTGGTTTCGAAGGTGCAAAGCTGGACTGACTGTAACCGTCAGTGTCCCCTCCCCCCCACAGCAGCCACGTGGTTCCAGTGACAAGCTTATCTGTTCAGTGCTTAGAATCGCATCCCAGGGGGAGCGTGGCTGGTCGCTGCTGCGTGTTTTATGCGGAGCAATTAGAGCCCTGAATTCATTCAAGTTCATTTCTATTTTATCAAAGGAAAACATACTGTGACTTTCCAAGCCAAATAGGCCTACCAGCTTATTATTATGCAAATGATGGTCCCCTGCCTCATGTCCCCTCAGCCTCACCTTCAGCTGTCCCTCCTGACCGTCCTGCATGCTTATTTACGTTGCTTTATTCACCCATTTTTGGACACTGTCTGCTGTCCTCCTGTGGGGGAGCTGGGGAGTAGGGGGCTCATTTACACCCCACGTGACCCATCTTCCCACCCTCATCAGTTACCCAGCTGTGCTACTATCGTGCATGCTTGAGCTAAGAAATCAGCTTTAGTTATACACCCCTAATATGCACATTTTTGTTTTCCCCCAAACTAACAAATGCCTCATTTGTCCTTGTGTGTAAGTTCCTCTCACAGGTGTCCTCTCCCTCCACCCCCGCCCACCAGACGCCCTCTGTCCTGGCACCTTGCCATGGCCAGCCCCAGCCCCAGGGCTGCTCTCAGCACCTCCTAGGAGCCCCTGTCACCTCCTGCCCACATCGCGCTGTTTCCTAGCGCCCATGGTGACTCCTCCTCGCGGAAGAGGCCTTCCGGCAGCTTCCTGAGCCGTGGCTCGTGGGAGCGGGGTTTTGAGAACTGGAGAATCGGTGGTGTCTGGAGTCTGCTCTCTCACTTGAAGGATAGTTTGTCGATACAGAATTCGAGGTTGGCAGTCGTTTTCCTCCCAGATTCCAACGCCTCCTGGCTTCCCTGGTCACCTGGGGAGTCCCCTGTGGCCTCAGCCCAGGCCGTCCTTTCTGACCCCTGGTTTTCACCTTGGAAACCTCTGGGCCTGTCTACTCCCCTGTGTCCTGGGGCCACCCAGCCTGGACACACGTGCCCTCGGCTCTGAGAAACTGGGCTGTTTGTTTGGTTGGTTGGTTGATAAGTTTCTCCTACTATGTCCTCTGTATTTTCTTCCTGGAAAACATTATTCCGATGTTGAGCTCTCTGGATTCATCCTTCAGTTTCTTTCTTTCTTCCCTTCCTACGTGTCTCTCCTTCTGCTTCCGCAGAGGTGTGCAAGCTTCCAAGCTTGGTACTGAACGTTCCATCTTGGCTGTCCTAAGTTGGGTCATTAGGGCTTCTCTGCCCGTTAGCGGATCCCACTCCCGTTCCCTGGCTGCAGCGTGTGTGGGACTGAATCAAGCGTGATCGCTGATACTGAGTTGGTTTTCAGACACAGAGTGGGCGTTTCATATGGTGCAGCTTGACTGCCTGTTAGCGCCCTGGGAACTTCCTCCCCCAGTGTCTTTACTCTCCGTGGGCTCCCGTCCTGGCGGCTTGCTGAGCTCCCCTCGGACACGGGTGGATCTTGGTCGTCCCTTCATATATTCGTAGCTAACAGTGGGCCACTGTGCGCCCATCAGAAGCCCTTTCTCGGGGGGAGGGCGCATCTGCTGCTGTCCTCACGGTAGTGGGACCACCTGGAGTCTGGAGGGGGGTGGGCCTGGCTGCCTGCGTTCTGTCGCGTGGGAGGGCGCGCAGGTGGCTGCAGATGGAGCTGGTGGCCTTCCCGCTTCCCTGTGCTCTGCTGGGACGCACCCTTGCCCTGCACGGTCCTTGGTGTCCCCGGGCCCAGCGCCTCCGGTTCAGGTTCTCCAGAGGTTAAGCTGCTGCTCTCCTGGGGGAGGGGGGCACTGGAGAGTGACATTGAGGAGGAGAAAGCTGGCATTGGGGTGGGGGGTGGGGGGATGATAGGGAACAGGCCTACCAGGCTCTCCGCCCACTCCCATTCCCCGTCCCCTCCCCTGCCTCCTGCGCCTGGGCCGGCCGGGCTCTGAGCAGGGCGTCCCCAGCACCCCCATCTAGAGCACGGGAACTGGCACTGTGTCAGCTGTCGCGCCCCTCAAATGCCATCCTCCAGGACGGCGCCTCCTCTCACCTGCTGTTCTCTTTACGGGTTTATGATTGTTCAATTCAATTGTGGTCCATTTTGTGGTGTTTGGGAGGTATAGAACAATCTACTGCATTTACCTGGAAGTTCTCCGAGACTTAACCTTAGTCACTTCTCAGATTATAAAAGTAGTAAGTGCTCTTTGTAAATACTTGAAAGAACATCAGCACATAAAGTAATAAAGCAGGAAAGAGCCTGGGAATCCCACGTGTCCGAGGTCAAACCTCGGTTCACGCTTTGGTGTGGATGCCCCCTACTTCTCCCCACGCCAAACGATAAACCACCTACACACGTGTCGCAGCTCGCTCCAGCCTCGTGAAGGAAAAGAAACCGCCAGACAGGCAACAAGCGTGCTTCACGGGCATCTTGGGTCATCTTGAGGAGTATTTGCTTTCTTTTGTTTTTATAGGATTGTTAAAAATTATTTTGACATAAAAAATTATTTTGACAAACATTATTTTCACATAATTTGAGGCCTAAGAAAAGTTGCAAACAAGTACAGAGAATTCACATTTATTATGTTTGTATAACCATCTGCCTTTCTCACACACACACATTTACAGCACACACATACACACCCTCGTACACTATGCATGTTTTTCCCGAGCCTCTTAAGAGTACATTGCAGACACGCTGCCCCTTTTCCAATAAAGATGTCGTCAGCTGTATTCCCTACAAACAAGCAGTTCCCTGACTCAACCACAGGACAGCAAGCAGAATCAGGACATTAATGTTGGTACATATTAGTATCTGCAAACCTTACTCATACGTTTCCAAATAATATTTTATAGCATTAGATTCAGATTTCTTCAATAAAAAATTTTAATGGGATTATTGGGTCAAAAGAATGTGCTCTTTGTCATCGTTTTAATGTCTCTACATATTGTTAGATTTGCTTCTAGAAAAAGGTGCCAGCCATGCCCTCCGCAGCACCTACAATTGTTAAGCTTTCTACCCCTTACCAGCCTGACAGTGAGGATGGGATGGTACTGGTCTCGCGTGTTTTCCCTTAATGACGGGAGGCTGTGAGCGCCGTTTGCATGTCGTTCGGGCTGGGGGGCTTCAGTCCCGCCCCCGCCTCCTCCTCACGCAGCTCCTGCGCCCCTTGCTCGTTCCAGGCGCGGCGCTCGGCCCGTTGCTGGCTGGGCTCATCTCCCCGTCCGGATGGGACAACGTGTTCTACATGCTCATGTCTGCGGACGCCTGTGCCTTACTGGTAAGTCGCCTGACTCCTCATCCCCGCGGCCTTTCATGAGCGTCGCTGGTGACACCTCGTCCTGGGAACTCCTGTAGCCCTCGGGGAAGTTGGGCAGGTGACGTGCCCCACCTTCTCTACATGGCCACAGTCCGAGACCCTTTCTCTTTCCGGCTTAACAGAGGACAGAAGCAGGTCAGGCTGTCGCTTGTCATCGCAGTCAGGATGGTAGGGAGGCCAGGAACAGGAGCCCCGGGCTTTGTCACCTGGGCTTGTCACCTGGGGTTCTGTGGGACTGTCCATGCGTACGGTCAGTCCTGGTGGCTGTGCTCTCACGTCCCTAACCCTACCCTCTCCAGCTCCTGTCACATCGGGCTCCAGCCACCCGGCCAGCACCTAAAGCTGGCAGGTCCCTCCCTGTTGGGAGCTGTGTGCACAGACCGGAACTTCTGTCGTGTTTTAGAAGTTGATCTTTGCCCTGACGCAGAATTGGTGCTGCTGTTTACGGCTTATTCCGTACCTGCATGTTACACGGCATATAATTGCTCCTCTCTTCTCGTAACGACCTGCTCTTTATAGTCATAGGCTTCTTGCCCTACTAACACTTCTCACATCTGGAACCTGGTAGAGTTTATGTTCCTAAGATACCAGCTCAAACTCAGCAGGCCATCTCGTAGTTAAAGGCAGGGTTCAAATTCACGGCGCTCAGTTTATCTAACAAAAATGTCACTGTTGCTGCCAACACTACCTTTGACACCTGACCCATCCTGCATGTTGCCTTCACCGCTGCGACTGTGCGGACACTGCCCCTGGGTCAGGCAGAGCGGCTGGCCGCGTCTTACCTGGGGGAGAAATACCTGTTCTCCTCGGGGGGGTGCGAGGGACTTCAAAGCTCCTGCTTGAGCCTTAAGCATCTAAGAAAACATCTAAGAGCATGTCTGCTTCCGTGGGTCTCACTGAGGCTTGGTCCCGCGTGGCTGCCTGGGCTTTAAGTCGCCCCTGAAAACCCTCCTCCAGCACCCCCACCGCCTTGGGCCTCCTGGTCCAGAGGTCCCTCCTGGGCCTGAGGACCCAGTGCCTTCTAAGAAGTGGGCCATCAGAACCAGGACTTCCCTCAGGAACCCATTTCAAAGCCCCAGGGCGCTGCCTGCGGGGGGCGGGGGGCAGCTTTTCTGGGGTGCTGGCTTCACACTTGGGGAAAGGCTAGATCCACATTCTCAAACAGAAAAAAAGCAGTTAAATTGAGGAATGCGCTTAGTCATTAGTCTGGACTTACCAACTGGCTCTGAGCCCTTTTAGCGTGAAAAGAAACACGAAGAAGAGCTCAGCTGAGCTGACCGAGAGTTGTCCTCAGGTGACACCAGCAGCGGCTTGCGTGACTCTGGGTTCCGGCGGGGCCACGTGCGCCTCGGACGCTTCCCCGTAAAACGTGGCTGTTCCAGCGCCAGCCTGGTCAGCTCCCAGCGCCGATGGCTGAGGAATGCTGACCTGGCTCTCAGAGTCACCTGTGCAGCTTCCGAGGCCTCCCCCTGTGTCACCGTGGTTGTGGGTCACCTTGTCTTGAGTTTTTGTCGTTTTCCAGTCTGGACATGTTATGATTGGACTCATTTTGTTTTGAACATGATTTGCACCCGGGGGTCATTAGGCTGAAGTCTGTCCTGACAGCCTTGTTTCTGGGAGCCCGTCTGTAGTGATTCGTAGGGCTAGGCCTCCGGTTGGCTGTGCTGGGTGGGGGACGGGGAGAGGGCCCCCCGCCACCGCTACTCTGCTTTAGGCCTTTAATTAAGTCCTTTATGGTCTGAACAAGTATCTCTGTGGGGCAGACCTCTCTCTGCGGGGGAGCCACAGGCAGGTGGGTTCCCCTGGTGCCAGGCTGGGGTCTTCATGGTGACAGCAGGCGTGCCCCGTCACTCAGGGTCCCTGCCGCAGTCACAGGTGGTCTTGTCTTTGTTCTCGGTGCAGTTCCTGATCCGCCTCATACACAAGGAGCTGATCTGCTCAAGGTCAGCGACGGGGGACCAAGTTCCGTAAGTCCCTCAGGGGGCCCCTCGCCCCGGGAATTAAAGCGCAGCTTACAGCTTATCTGCCTTCCCCACCTGGCTCTTCCTGAAAGAGGAAAGGAAAGACAGCTCCGGCTCCAGCTCCCTCTCCCGCTCCCGCTCACGCTTTTCCTTTCCTAATGAATTCCTGCGTGTGCTGCCCGTCCCTCCTCAGTGTCGGAGTGGGAGCCTGAGGGGACGGCCTCCGTCCCACCAGATGGCAGCCCCAGCGCTCAGCCTGCCTCCTGTCCCCTCCTGTCCCCTCCTGTCTCCTCCTGTCCCCTCCTGTCCCCTCCTGTCCCCTCCTGTCTCCCCTGCTTTCCCCTGGTCCCCTCCAGGCTGTGGGTGGGCTCAGGGAGGGGCTGGCACTCCATGGGGTCTCTGCACTTGGCAGGCGCTCAGCACCTGTCCTCTGACGGCTGCTGGCTGTGTGAGCAGCTGCTGTTCTGTCCTTTTCTTTCAGGTTTAAGGAACACTGACCCGTCGGGTCCTGTGGAGGGAGGTTGGGCCCGTCCTCCACAAACTGTCTTTCAAGGGAAAGTTCAAATAAAGGAGCCTGTGTTGAAAAGAATGATTTGCTCTTCCCTCTCGCACATGTACCTGGAAGACACAGAAACCGCCTTGAGAATTCCCGGTGCTGGTTAGACGGCCGTGGGCCCAGGATGGCACCGAGCAAGGAAACCCTGGGGCGCACTGTCGGCCGTGGTTGTGCCTGGCAGGGCGCTGGGCAGCTGCTTCGCCACCTGTGGGGGCGACTGGGGCTGCTGTGAGGCACGCAGGTGCCCTCAGCGTCTCAGATACTTCAGCGTGGAATGCTAGCACGGGGTGAGTGCTGCGTGGCGGGGACCCTGATGTCGCCTGAACGTGCCGTGTGGAAGACACCGTAGGGCAGCGCGTGTGACAAAGCAGCCAGCAAAGAGCCCAGGCTCCCAAAGGACAAGAGCTGAGAGCTGGATCAGAAACACAGAGGGGACTTGGACCTGTCACATCACACGGACACTGCCAGCACCTCCTCCTGCACTGGGCCCACAGAAACCACTGTGAGGATGCCCCGTGGTGAAGCCATCTAAGCCTGAAAGGGCCGTAGGCACCGCAACACCAGCCCCAGAACTCCCCAGAGATTCCTGTGGTCCCCGCTCCAAGGGCCATGGCACTGCTGGTGCCCTGTGGGGTTGCGGGGAGAACACGCCTGAGGCTGGGTGGGGAGCTGGGGGTGGACGGGTCCCCAGTGCGGAAGTGGTTGCCCTCCGCGACACGCCCGACACCTGGACCTGTCCTTAGCTGCACGGCAGTGGAGTGCGTTGTTTACGCAGGCTGTGCGCTGTGTTATAGGAGCTGAGAAGCAGCGTGGTGTTCGGTTATTTATTGAGACAGAGCCATTGTTCTCTGGCCACTGTTCCTTCGGTGTTGCCTAGCAAACATCCACCCTCTGAAATAAAACGTAAAAACTCAAGCGGGATGGCGATTACTCCTGCTCGTGTTTTCATTACTTTAGAAAAAGAAAACTTGCAGATAGAACTGCGTGATCTTGGTCTTCTCGGGGTGGGACACAGTCGGTGGTTTTGCAGCCGAAAGCTGAGCCCGGCTCCAGCAGAGAAGGGCCGCCCTGCCCGGAACCAGGCCCTCGGTTTGCAGCCAGGCCACGGAAGCCGCTGAGGCTGAGCCCAGGCCCCAGCGACACAGCGGCTGCATATTCTGCAAATCATGCAGTTAATTAAAGCAATATTCCAAGGTTTGTCCTTGACCACAAACGTCACACACAGGAGGAGCAGAGCTGTACTTGAAATTGCACAGTGGAGAGCAGGCTTTCAAACGTCTTAGAAACATGTGTCTTCAAAGTCTGCGTGATGCACATTTTTCTGGGAGCCAGCCGCCATGTGTGAACACTTACTGCGCGCTAAGAGGGTCCCGCCGCCACCCTTCACCGTGGCAAGAAGGGCAGTGGTCCGGCCTGCGGCCTGCAGGTCCCCCTCGCCCCCACCAGGGCCCCTGGGCCTCTCCAGGGAAGGGCCGGAGGAGACAAGGGTCTCCTGAGTGGCAGTTGTCCTCACAGGAGGGCTTGCTTTTTCCTTAGTAACAGAAGTTACTGACACATTTAAAAAATAAGTTTCATGAACACTAAGTGGATAATATACAGCTCTTACACACTTCATCCAGCTCCCATGTTGCTGCTTTGCATCCCGTGTTTACTCGCCGAAGGCGGCTCCCTCCGCTTTCCCGGCGCTGGCTTTCAGCACCCCTCCCCGCCCAGCCCCAGGGGTCACTGCGGCTGCTGCTGTAGCCCCCAGCTCACCACGCAGCCCCCGTCCTAGGTGTTTACTTTCTAATTAAATGGAGTAAACAAAGGGAGGTAGTGCACAGAGCAGTCCTTCAGTAAACGTTTGGGCTGCACCGAGCCCTGAGGACTGAACTCTCAGATACGGGGCAGGGGATAAGTAGACCCACTTGTTTTGCGCCTTCCACAAAGAAGAGTCGTTGCACAGGGAGAGGCTGCCACGGTGCCCGCTGAGGGGGTCGTTAGAAGTGGGGAGTCGACCCTTTGTGAACGAGTACACACAGCTGTTTGTTCAGCCCTTTAGCTGAAGCACATTCTTGACCCATGAGTGGAAGATTTCATCATGACTTACGATTTGAATATAAAAACATTTCATCTGGAGCATAGCTGAGACTCTTGCATTCATATGGAAATGTAACTTTGCCTCTCCTGTCTGTCACTAAGGTTTTCCTACTCAAATCCGCACAAAACGCCCAGGATGATTGAAATGCAAGCTGGTGACAGGGACAGTGAAAGAGCTGAGGGTGGGACCACAGCCCTCCAATCACAAAGGAAGGAAACTGTCCCAGAAGCAGCTCACATAATCAGAAGCACCCTCAAACTGCCAGCTGTAAAATCCAATAAAAATTAATTGCTAGGAAAAATGAACTGTAACAAACCCACAAGTCCTAACTTTTTATTGTTAGATTCAAGACCAAACGCCTGCCAGGTTGCTGTAGGAGTTGATAGGTACCCCAGTCTCTGCCTGCCTGGGCATGCCTGTAACACAGCCTCAGCGCCGGACTCCAGGGCCCCGAGGCCCTGGTCAGCCTGGCTGCAGGCAGGTCCCATTAGGCTGGCCAACCCGCAAGCTTCTGTGTCTGCACCAGGGCCCAGCGTCAGATGAAAACGTGGGCCCCACCTTCAAAAAGCAGGGGGGACCACAGAATGTGGAGGGAACAGGGTCAATGGAATTGTAACAGCTGTATCCCATGTCAGAGGGGTAGCAGATTGGGGGAGGGGGATTATCACTTTGTGAAGGGTGGAATGTCTAACTTTTACATCGTTTTGTACACCTGAAACTAATAAAATAAATAAACAAATAAAATGGAAAAAAAAAAAAAAGCAGGGAAAGTGCTGTTCAAGGTACTGAAATATAAAATGTGTTCCTTTCTTCTGCTGGAGGAGGCAGTAGGACGCGAGATCTCGGGAGAGCTGGGGCTCTGGTCCCCCCACCCCCACACCTGCTCCACTGTCCCACCAACTTCACTGTGGAACCACGAGTGCAGGGGTGACGTTATTCATCTCAGCGACCGCAGAGCCTTCAGCCCCAAGCACAGGACTGCACTGGTCACGCCGGTGAGGCTGGTCCTGCTGGCCAGACTGAGGGCTGGGATGGAGGGCCCAGCAAACCCCAGGGCCGGAGTCGGGGAGGTTTCCCGTGGTCTCCTTCCCCGGGTGGGGCCCCTCCATGCCATGCAGCCAGCTTTGGGTAACTGCTGCCACATGGGCTGCCTTTTCCAGTGTGTTCCAGAGTGGCCCACCCACTAAAGAACAAATGCACGTTCCTGAGCCCCCCCTTCAAAGCCTTCCCACAGCTGTCTGACTCCAGCCATCAATTCTTTAAGTTATTCTTTCACCGGTCAGCTTGGTGACCAATCATTGTCCCCAGAAGGCTCATACTTTCTGATAAGCTTCTAAGGAAGTGTGGGTTGAAGGCAGCTGGCCCTGTCCCCAGCCCTGGCCTTCTCCTCCCAGCCACTGCAGAGGGATACTAGCTGTGGGAGAGCCCGTTTGCCAGGTCCGTGCGGGAAGACGTCCTGAGTGCAGTGGGCACCTTCAGCAGGAAGCCAGACTCTGTCACACCCAAAACAGAAGGAAGGAGCTGGCATGTGTGACAGACATGGAGCCCAACTCTGAAACAGCGAGTCACAGCCCCATCTAAAGCGATCCGTGACAGGGCAGGAGTGTCACCCTCAGACTCGCTGGGAGCTAGCTCGGTGGGCACTGCTCGCGCTGTGCACCGGAGTCGGCAGCTGAGAAGGCGGGAGAAGGCCTCCCCTGGGGCAGGGTTGGGCTGGGCAGCGCGGCTCTACTGAAGTCAGGGGAGGAAGGGATGGAGCCAGTGCCCACCCAGAATTCCCTGACCTCTGGAATGGTCCCAGTCTCCGGGACACACACACAGTCACAGCCGGAGCGAGGCACGAGGGGAGCTGTGAAGGGCTCAGTTGTCGTCCAGGAAGGGTCAGTGAGCAGGACATCCTGACTGTTCGGGGATGTTAATGAAAGCTGACTGGGCGTGGCAACGCCTGAGTTCTTGTCACCTTCCTCCTGATGTGTCAACGACCAAAGAGGTCCTGCCTCTCCTGGAAGTCCTCCCACGAGCCCAAAGCGGATAGTCTGTTATTTGATAGAAGCCATGCCCCTTCCTAACAGGCACACGGAGTGGAGCCCAGAAAAATCCAGCGTGCCTCTACACAGTCACTGCGCCCAAGGCCTGAAGATTGCAGGGCCTGCCGTGGTGGCGCCCACACCCCGAAACGTCCCCGAGGCCGTCAGAAGGAGCTGGGCGGCCCCGGGAGGCCATGCAGCTGCTCCTGCTCTCGACGGCTTTATGTTTTGTTGAGGTAAAATGCACGCAGCATGTACTTAACCGTTTTCAAGTGCACACGACAGTGGCATCGACTGCAATCACAGAGCTGAGCAAACGCCACCTCTCTCTTCCCAGAACTGGCCCATCCCCCTGAGGGACACCTGTACCTGTTAGGCAATCATGCCCGGCCCCTCCGGCCCCGAAGCCATGCATGTTTAAAATGAGGGTTTTCAAAGAGACTGGCTTCAGGGCACCTGTTAGCACTAAAATTCTACAGCGAAATGTCTGAAAATACTACTTATATTTACATTATATTCCTGGGACGCTGCTACACACCACTGCAGACATTATAACACTGTACCCTTAGGGCACACTACATTTATACAACAGCACAAGAGAAAGCGATGCCATCAGGAGACGCTGTGAACACGAGCGGACGAGGCTACAGCCAGCGAACACGGCTGCTGCTTTACAGCAAACTTTGTTTGGTAATAAGCAGAAAGAGTCCACTCTAAAACAACGAGGATACGTATAGTATAGTAAATACATAAGCCCAGAGCAGTGTCATTACCACCAAGCACAGGCACTGGACGTAACTGTGTGCGCTTGTCTGCACCAGCGTCCCCACAGACACGAGTCGTGCGTTGTGCTATGACGTCACTAGGCGACAGGAGTTGTTCAGCTCCATTATAATCTTACGGGACCACCATCCCAGATGTGGTCTGGCATTGACCCTAATGCGGTTGTACAGAGCACGCCTGTGAAGCCTTGGCGTGCGCCTGGCCTGTGCTCAGAGCTCCTGGGAACTCAGGCACCGCGATGTCACAAGCCGAGGAGCTGGCTAAGGAATGGAAGGGGCTTGGGCTAGAGAAGCTCACGCACGTATGACGTCTGAGCCTTTCCGCACCAGTACTAGCGTTCGGCAAGTCTGTGGCTTCTTCTCACAAGCCCCCTGGCGGGCGTGAAGGGCCGGGACACACAGGGCTGGGAAGGGGCTGTCCCCCCCATCCAGAGGGCTTCCTCATCCCACACCTTGCAGGGAGCAACGGAGGGGATGACAGAAGATGCACAGCAAACCGGTGACAAGCCAGCGTGCTGACTGATGTCAGGGCCATGACAAGCTCGGGGACGAAGGGCAGCTGTGAGTGGCCCTGGCAGCCACGTGCGGCATTTCGGTTTTGCTCGTGTTCACATATTCGTTTCCCCTGTTCAGTCAGAGGCCTCAGCAGGCGTGCCCTGAACAGGTTCCTTCTCTTCCCTCCGGATCTGTTCATGGGTGGTTTCCCGTCAGCCTCCAATGGCTCGGCTGCAGCTGGGTCAGGGCACCCGCGTGGACCAACAGAATTAAAGATGGATTCGTTCAGACTAATTTCTTACTATGAGTCGAATTAAGCCCATGGCCTAAAACACGCAGATAATTCTGGCCAAAACATGTCTGTTTGCCTCGAAGTAGATGGACTGAGGTCTCCGCGTTGGCGTCCCCGCATCGGCTGCGTCTGCACCAGGAAACCCGGGTGCTCTGGTAACCCAGAAAAGCAACGGCCTGCTCAAAGGGCAGGAACCACAGTACTGACGCCATCGCCGTGTGTGACCCCAAGACTGAGCACTGGTCTCGTGTCCT